CATTAGCTGAGGGGCAACAGACATTTAGCATTGTCAGTGATTGCGTTGCAGTTCGTGTGAATAGTGGAGTCGCAAGGCAAAGGCAAGGCATACAGCACACTAAAGAGACAGTATGTGTGAGGACATCAAATAGAGACTTACAAACACTAGCTGCACACAGGCATGTGGTTGAATGGAGACTTACCAAACACTAGCTGCACACAGGCATGTGGTTGAATGGAGACTTACCAAACACTAGCTGCACACAGGCATGTGGTTGAATGGAGACTTACCAAACTGTCAAAGTCAAAATGTTCATTAAGGAAGACTTGAATGAGTTCAGCCAGCCCAAGATGGGAGAGAGCTGCCTCAAGAGTTTCTGGCATATCTGGCTCATCTTCTTCTCCTTCTTCTCCCTGCTCTTCTCTCTCTTCTTGCCTACTGTGGCAGAACACACACACATGAAGACACGACACAGGTGACTGAAGACAGCGACAGAAGGTGACTGACAGTGTTACACTAAGGAGAGGTAAATGCACCTTTCTCCATGAGCTAGTGGATCCTCAGGTGACCCACCATTCTGGTCCAGCTGCCCAGTCTGTGAGGAGAACAATCATGACAGTGAGGGGGGAGGAGGGGGAGGGGAGAGTAGGTACCTGGTGAGCTAGGATGTCAAACAGAATGCAGGAGCCGAGGGAGTGTCCCATGACAGACACGCCCCCTGAGTACCCGGGGTTCCTCTGCAGGAACAAGTCATACATCCTGTTCATCTCACCTGCCACCTGGTCAACGATGGTCTGGGGACGAGGGAGGCAGAGCTGTGAGGGAACAGAGAGGAAGAGGGAGAGCATACGTACCTGGAGGTAGACAGGACTGGTGAAGAAGAGGATGTCAAGGAGAGTTGAGTTGGTGAAGTTCCTGAGGCGACTGATGCTCTTGAGGGAGAGTCTCTGAAGCTGGGAGTCCACTCCGAGGCTGTCGCCGTGCAGGGCAGTGTGCCAGTGGACAGGAAGGAACTCCACACGGCCTCAGTGTCCCCTTCCTGCGCTGCCTGGCCTGCGAACCGGTGGGTCCGCAGCATCAGTTGGGACACCTCCCTGAAGTCATCCACTGCAGTAGGTGAGCCAGTAACACTGCACTTACAGCACCTTAATGTAAACTGTATGTACATTTCTGAAACATAAATGTCATAGTAGAACACAAACCACTCACGCACGGTGTGCCTCTTACACTCACAGATGTAAAAGCATAGAGGTCTCTAAATAATGCCCATTCATACTAAGCGCATTGTTTTATCACACAACATTGTAGTAGGAGGATTTGCTGACACTGAAATGAGGTCCAGTATAATTGTTTACCACAGTCCACGAGGCAGCGGAAACTGAGGTCATGATGTTCCCCAATACCATGGACAACAAACACCAGATGGTCAATCCGGGACTGCTCTCCTGCACAAACACACAGACACAGAGGACCAGCTTCACTATCACCAGCAGTGGATGGAGACTCACCTTGCTCCACGTGGTCTATCTCAGCAAACCCTCGCAGTACGGAGCGAGGGTGGGAATAGTCCACCTCGTGGGCGATGGGCTGGAACTGGGAGGAAGGGTAGTGTGCCATGGAGGACTGGGAGTGCATCACCACTGCCTCCCCCTCTCCCACCTCCACCTTCCCTCCCCACACTCCCCTACTGACTGCTCCCATGTACTCTTCCTGAGAGGAAGAGAGGACAAGACGCTTGACTACATCATTAATGTCAAACAAAGAGGTACATCAATTTCGGACTTTTGGCATAAGAGGAGAGGGAAAGGGAGAGAAAGAGGAGCAGAGAGAACACCCACAAACCTCCAGACGAACGGCAACATCCTCACTATACGGCATGTACCACCTGTCACTGTCTCCTTTGAAAAACCAGGAGCAGCGACGAACTTGGGAAGATGGCTCACTCCAGTAGATGGCTGAGCGGCTCCTGGCGTGAAGGTCGACGTCGTAGCGACCTCCGTCAGTGGGTACCAGCACCTGCAGCACCCATTCACCACTCTCACTAAGCCACACCCACCACTCACCTGGAGGGCGGGGTTCCCAGCAGCAGAGGTCCAGGCCTGCTCCAAGTGGGCGGAGTCAACAAGGGAGAAGGGAATCCAGTAACGTTCGTTGGGGCGGAGGTAGAACCAGTGATGTCGCAACGTCTGGGCCACACCCACTTCATGTTGGGGTGGGAGTGCATTCACTCCAACCTGAGCCTATGACAAGATTGTAACAATAAAGAAGACAGCTTTGTTCCTTGTTCTTTGTGAGCTGTAGAATGCTGCAGGTGAAATCCATTCTGCACGCAGGTGAGAATTTCACTCACACTTACACAACATTAATAATGTAATGCACATGGGTGTAGTCCAAGATTCAATCATCCAATTATGTCAGGGTATGTAATGCTCCATACAACATCAACCACACAACATTTATTACTACCCTCTCTCTATAATTAAACATACCTGTCCCTGAGTGTAGTCAGTGGTGGAGAGGGGAGGAGGAGGTAACGAGGTGGGAGGGGCTGACTGTGAAGTGGGTGTGGCTACTCCACCATACACGACTCTCTTCCCCCCAGCCTGCTGACCTAGACGGTACGGATTAGCCGACTGCTGCGGAGCCACCGAGGCAACAGGGGGTGTGGCAGTGGGTGTGGTCTGTGGAGTGTCGGGCTGGCCCGCCAGTGGCTGGATTGAGAACATGTCAGCAGTCCCTGGACTGGAACCTGGACAGAGAATCTGGAATGGAACAGAGTCCAGAGAGAGGGACAGAACAGACCTGGGACAGGAGGATCATTCCAACCTGGACCAACTGGAGGAGACTGGGTGTGGCTCAGGGGTCGGTGAGGGGTCACAGGGGTCAGAATTCACCACCAGACCGCTAGAGTGAGTGGGAATAACAGCACTAGCAGGATACACATTTGCACTCGCTCAGCTTCGATGTTTGTTTCATGGGGGAAAAGTTAGTGATATGTAAACCTGGATAGGAGGAGGAGGAGGGAGGAGGGCTGTCCAGAGGAACATTGCTTAACTCCGCTTCCACAGCAGGGGTGGGCGTGGCTAACGAGGAAATAGGCGTGGTCTTGACGGCTGGGGTAGATGTAAGAGAAGAGGCCGGGCTGCCAGAGGAAGGGACGCTCGTCTTGACGTCTGTGGGTGGAGGAAGATGGGAGACTACAGTCTGGGGCGTCCAGGGAATGAGCGCGGTGCGCAGCTCACCTGACTTTCTGGGGGGAGATGGGGAGCTCTGAGCTGGCGTCAAGGCAGGCGCCAGGGAGAATGAGCTGTTGAAGGAATCACCAGCTAGACCAAACGACAGACCGCCTGTGATCGCGGCAGGAACGGGGGAAGAGAAGAGGTTGGCTTTGAACAGCTCTGGCTGTTTCTTTTGCTCGGCCATTATGCTACGAACCGCACGAGACCTTGAGCATGCGCACACGCCCCGGCCGGGAAACCTTCGGCGCGGCGCGCGTCGCGGGAAATTCAAAACGGTAAAAGGTTTAGCGTCTTCGAGCCCATGGAGGAGCCAGAGAAGAGCAGTGTGAATGCTGTGGAATCCTCTGAATGTCCAGTGGAGCTCCGTCTTACTGGGCTTAGTGCTCTGATCGCTGCATTTCTCATATTCATGGCAATCCACTGTATATTGGCCATTATGGAGAGAAGTAGCTCTGAACCACAAAGATCTGGGAAAAGACTGGTGGTTCCATCATCTCCTGTCACAGGCTGTCCAGATAACAGCATGTCGTGCAGCTTACAGACCACTCCGCTCCGCTGCCGTCAGTCCACGATACTTCGGACCCCTGCATCTCCTGGTCGAAGGTATGGAGACGGGAAGAACGTTCGTTTTGCTGAAACTACATCTGTTCAGAATGTCGAGTCATTTTATGAGCCAGAAGACTTCTATGAAGAGCCCCAGTACTGATTTTCTCGAGTTTATAATATGCGCATGCGCAAATTCAACAGGCGGTCGCGGGATGTGGGCGTGGCTGATGCTCCACATGAGAGAAGATGGTGATTCTAAAGGGTATTCCTCGTATCCTCTCCCCTCAACTGCTGTCTGTGATTGCCAGAATGGGGCATGGAGACGAAATCGGTACATTACTGAGCCCCCACTGTCCAGCAGTTGCATAGCAATGTGTTGTCGGTGCAGTTTTAGCAGACGCCAATTTCCCCAGCGCCTCCATCTCCAGACACGGACCTGAGCTGGTCAGAGCAGACGGTAAACAGACTCACAGTTGGTCTAATACTGCAGTTCTAATGCCGAGCCTACGGTAGAGCAGGTCACGGGATCCCAGCTCTCCTGAAGGCTGTGACTCAGCTAATGCCTCTGGATAGCTATGTCCCTGCACCAGTTGAGAGCCTGTCTAATATGTCTGTCTTTTTGCACTACTGAAAGTAAACCTCCAAGGTCATGTTGATGGATCTGGTTCCAGATGACAAGAAACGTGGACTGAAGACTCCAGTCTGGGATGAATACAAGTCTATCATCAACCGTGCTGAGGGGAAGGTGGTAAGGACCCTGTAATTACCTCTCTCCTACACCAACCAACGCCTCCCTTATGACACAGGTCCAAGTGGAACTGATTGAACGATTTGCTTTCTATGAGAGAGCCAAGGGGGCCTTTGCAGTGGTGGCCACGGGGTGAGTTCAGAGGGAGGGAGGGACTCGTCAAACACTCATCTGTCTTCCAGGGAAGGAGCTCTGTATGGCAACATCATACTCAAGAAAGGAGTCCTCCCTGCAGACTCTGATTGATCCTAATGAACTGTTGACTGAACTACTACTCCCACTGAAACCCAAGGACGTTTTTGATCAATATTTTTCTCTGACTTATGTGGGAGTTACTTGTGGCTTCGTTGCAATCACACACTGATCTGGGTTCAGTGTGTCCACTAGTAAATTGGTGGCCTGGGCTGCCCACAACTTCAGGAACGAATACCATCTGGCAGAACGCCCAATACCGACCAATATCTGCACATTATTAACAAGAATTTTATGACACAGCTGCAAGCAATCACACAAATTAAGCAATAAGTGTACAAATCACATCTGGTGATAAATTACGAGGATGATTTCTGTGTGCAATCTGGCATAAGTGATCCAAAAGCAGAAGGGAGAAAGAGAGGGGGGACTAGAGGAGAAGGTGGAGTGCAAGTGGTGCTAGAGCGAGAGTCAATAGAGAGAGTCTGTGATGAGAGGGACCTCCCCCTCCAACGACCTGCTCGTTCTTCCTGTCAGGCGGTGTTGGCCAGGTGCTGGGTAGAGCGGTAGTGGCAGGAGTAGAGGGGGCAGTTGTTGATTTCACCTCATGTGGCCAGTGGCTGCAGTCGTAGAAATCTCTCAGGCGCTCTGCATGAGCCTCAGGGAAACTGGAGGAGGGAAATCATAATTTGTTATAGGTTCTGCCGCCAGACGAGGATCTGCCTGGATGCACACCAATGCTCCCACTTTACCGCAAGCTAATCTACTGCACACATTCAAGCCTAATTACTGGCATGCTCACCAGTTGATGAATTTCTCGCAGGATTCGTATGTGTTGAGGATCTCAACTCTCTGGCCGTCCTCTGAGCACTGGCCCAACAGCTGGCAGGTAAAGTTTGCCTGTTGCTCATAGCAAACCTTGTCAATTTCTTCTGCAATCATTCCAAAACGGGTGTCGTAGTATCGCATCAGCTCGTACATCCACCCAGTAACTTTTCTCTGCATGTCCTGCGTGCAATATTGCAGTCGGTCCTCTTGCATCGTTGCGTTCTCGTGTTCTGTGAGCGACTTGCATTCTGCGGCCACAAGCGACGAGTTGTGTAGGTCGCAGAAGTCGTCTCGGTCAAGAAGCACATTTGCCACATCCGTACCGCAGTTCTCCCTTACCATCTCCTCGCAGTTCAGAGACGTCAGGAGTACCTGCACCTCTCCGTCCCCCTGCTTCTCGCACCGTGGGAACCTCTGGGCGCACATGATCGCTCTTGCAGTGGCCGCGCATTCGCCGGAGCGGTAGAGCCCCTCGTCGGCGGAGATTTCCTCGATCTCCAGCTCAATAGCTGCAGAGATTACGGCCAGGCTCTGCGGCATTTCGTAATCCAACGTGCATACGGAGGAAGATTGCGGCTGCACGCAGGAATCCACGGGCCCAGCGTCGTTCCCTGGCGGCGTTCCCTCTGAAGAGCTGGAGCCCAGTGGAACGAGGCTCCGCTCTACGAACGGTTTTGAAGCACCATCTTGTACCAGGCAGGTCAGGAGACCCAGCGCAACGGCTGCAACACATAAAGTCGTTTGATTTCGGCCCATTTTCTATCTGGTTTTCGGTGAAAAATGAATCCTCTCTCGGCGGCTAGTTGGTTTTGTAGAGCTGGGTAATTTAAATTGCGCAATCTGATTGGTCCGTGCTTAGTAGCGTCCTCGCTGCGCTCGAACGCACGCCGACAGCCCCGGGGCCCCCGCGGCTCTCTAATGCGCGTAGTTTCCTGGACTCGGCATCTAACTTATATAATATAGACTCCGTTGTTACTACGTCATAACCATGGCAACGACTTACTAATCAACAATTCCCTTCTCCGCGCCGCGTGTGCATGCTGAGCGCGCGCGAAAAGAGGAAGAACACTGAGAGACTTATTACCACGGAACACTGCACTTCAGTGTTATTCTCGCTGTCCTTCTAATTCTTGACTCCAGCCAGGGAGCAGAGTCAGGTGGGTGTTGCCAAGATTTGGCCGGTTGAGGTGGGCATTAAATAGAATCAATATCTCTTCAGAGCTTGGCCCATGGATCACTACGAGCGGCTGGTTGCTCGGTGTGTGGAGGCACTGGCCACCTTTGACCCCAGCAGTACCAGTGTGGAAGATCACCTGGAGAGATTTCTGGTGTCCTCAGAGAAGATGGTAGGCCTAATGGTGTGGCATGTTGGTTGGAGGACTGTGGGACTGCTTGCTACAGGGAGAGGGGGAGGAGGAGGAGGAGGAGGTGACGTTTGTGAGGGAAGTGGTGGCTGGCTGCGTCAGATACCAGCAGCTCATTAAGGTATACCAATGATGTAATGAGGAAAGACCCTGGGAAATCTACCATTGTAAATATGTACACCACACCTCATTCGACTTATAGTAATGTGTTTGTTTCACAATGCACTTGGCCATCATGTGCTTGTCTCTTTTTGGAATTTACCCACTGCTTATCGTGATTTGTTGGTTCAGTGGTTTTTGCCTAGTTGGATGGTGCTGGTAGTGAAAGACTCAAGTCCCTGGGGATTTTGTGGTTTACGCAGCATTCCTCTACTACCCTGCTTTGGCTAACTCCCTAGCTGATATCATAACATAATACAGCTGAAATATCAACAACAACAACAACCGAAGGCCTCATTGCAGTGTATCATTACACTCTAAGTGTCACGAGACTCTTCCATAGAGAAGTGCAGGTGATCATTTGGGAGGTCAAATGGCCATTTACCAACTCCATTCACCTCCTTCGGTCCTCTGTGAATATCTCATTCCATTAATTCACACTGCTTATCTCTAGCCAGATCAGCACTGGCCTGCAGGTTTCATTGTTTTGTGTGTGAATATCGGAGCACCAGGTCCTGGTGTGTCCCCATGGCCTGTGCCTCTAGTCAAAACCTCTCCTTCCAGGGGAGGGGCTGAGTTGCCTGGGGCTCTGGTAGCTGTTATTCATGTCCTTCCAAGACTATGTACACATCTCAGTGCACAATGCTAACTAACCCCACACAAGTATATCTAGCAACAGTGACTCTGGGTAAACTGTTTGTATGGTGTGTGTGTGTGTGTGTGTGCAGGTGGTTGTGAGTGGCTTCTATCGGAGTCCCCAAGGCCGTAGCTGCCTCAGAGCTGACTCGTGTCTCTATAATGGTGAGTCAGTGGTAAGTCTATATATTGACTGCAGTGACCTGACTAGCTATAAGATATGGTGCAAAGGGCATGCACAGTGTTGTTGTATAAGGTTTGAATGGAATGTAATAATGACAGTGATATATGGAGATATATTGGACTGTTTGGAGTTCTATTACCAATTGTGAGAGGACATGGCATGCGGTATGCTGACCTATTTGACGAACCACCCCTTACTATGAGTCTTACATTACCATACACTCTCTGCTATTGTCCACTGGCCCTGCTGGTGAGCCACCTCACTGAACAAGAGTCATTGCGAGGTTTAGTCAGACAAGAAACACGCCAGGAACGAGGCTAATTGGCAGATTAGCACATTCACAACCTGTGTTTTTCAGCAACATCCATACTGTGAATATTCCTCTCTCCACCCTCCCTCTCTCCAGTGGTGTGTTACCTCCTCTTGTTCAGACTCCAAGAGATTGGTCCGGCTCAGTGGAGGAGACTTGTTCTCTCTCTCAACACCACCAAGATGTACAAGGTATAAGCACACACACACATACTCCGTCCTGCAGTTGTACTGTATAATGTCTCTCCCATTCCCCACTGCTGCAGTTCCTCAGTCTCACTCTGAGTGAAGATAACCTCAATGGCTGGATCACTTCTGAGGTAAACCCCACCTTCCTGACCACACCCCTGACCACACCACTCCTCTCCCAGTGGTACAAGGTCTATGACAGAGAGTTTGTGGACAGATCAATTCTCTCTCCATTGAAAAGGTGCCCCACTCTCACCCCATACTGTTCTCTAGTGCCCCTGTTCCCTACAGCTCCCATGATGAACTGCTGACTCTTGTTAGAGAGTTGGAGGAGCATTTGGCCAACAAGACACAGTCCAAACCTGCCCCTAAACCTCCCACTGGTATCTTATTCTTCTTCCCCTCCCCCCATCTCTTCTCTCTCTCCCTCAGAGGTGGCTCCATTCAACCTGACCAAACCCCAGCCTCGCTCCCTCCCCACTCCTGAGAAGGTGGGTCTATTCCCCCACCTCCTCTCCCTCCTCTCCATATCTTCTCTCTATATTCAGATCCCTGGCCTCAAGCCCCACAGACCAGTAAGCCATCATTACCTTCTAGCTAGCGTTCAGTCCCAGAATATTTTGTATGATGTTTCCCACTATGTAGACACAAACACTAGAGGCACGTGAAACTATAGGGACTATATATGTAGACACAAACACTAGAGGCGTTGCTGTGTGTGCAGGACATAATGTGACAGTCCCTCACCTACAGGTTCCTGTGTCCACATACACTAGACCTGCTGAGCAGGAGAAACTGGCTGAGGCTTTTAGGAGCAACAGACTGATAGCCGAGGTGGTCTCTCTCTCTCTCTGTCATCCTCACTGCTCTAGCCTCTTCCTCCTCAGACAACCCTGGAAGAGGCTCGCAGGACTCAGTTTGCATGTGCCACTGCTGAGAAATCTGAAAAGACTAAAGTAAGACATTTCCCTCCCAGCCAGTCCACTGTGACTGCTGTGTCTCTCCCGTCTCTCAGGCCAGAATGGAGGAGATAGTTGTGAGGAGAGTGGCAGAGTAAGTCACACACACCTGGGTCTGTCTGTTCCCTAACCATGTGGTTTACCTCACTCTGTTGAGCCAAACGAGTTTTAAGGTTCACATTTCTGCCAAATCTGTCTAATGAGTAATGAGTTTCTAGAAACTAACCTATAGTATTGTGAGAGTGTTAGCTCTTCTCCATTGTTGCCTGCAGACTCCAGTTCAGACCAAGGAGACCAGAGCCAGTCCCAGTCTCAGTGGTGAGTGGCTGTGAATGGTCCTCTGGTGTGAGGTATATAGTGATACCTGCAGCTGGAGGAGGGACCTCCTGTCAAGATGAACACTGCTGCTGTACTCAGGGAGGGAGCCAGAGTACAGAATGAACTGCTCCTGCAAGAAAAGAGGTGAAACTCCAGGTTCCTCTGGCCTTTCATGCAGTGAGCATGTGTTTTGTGATACTCACAGTAGGTAAACCATGAACACTCAATGGTTGTCACCCTGTCAACTTCCCCCTGTTCACTCTATTCCATTGGCTTGTTGATGAAAGTCCCAGTAATCTGCACATAATTCCACTGGTATAATGTACAGGCTGGCAAGTCTGGAGGCAGGAGAGAAGGACTCGGGGGAGTTCACTCGCTGGCAGGAGGACATGAAACAGGTGTGTATGTTCCCTGACTACCAGTGGAGACCACTGGTAGAGTGTGTGGGTCCACTGGCTGCAGAGAGAGGCAGCAGAGAGAGAGACTGAGGTGGAGAGACGACATCTGGAGGCCAGACTCAGCTACGAGGATGCCATCATTGCCAAAGAGAGCCACCTGAGACATGTTCAACAGAGGGCCCAGGCCATGAAGGAAGAGGTGTGTGTACCCCACACTCCATACCCCACACTCTGATGTTCCCGTTCCCTCAGTCTCAGAGCCTGATGCAGGCCTACTTTGCTGAGAGAGAGGAGGAGAGGAGAGAGATGAGGAGGCTGGTGGAGGCAGCTGCCGGTCAGAACGCTGCAAAAGAGGCTCGGGCTCAGCTACAGGCCATGAAGAAGAGCATAGGTGAGTCACTGGCTGCAAGGAAAGGGGGGGGGGACAAAAATTCGATAGGAAGAGCAAGAATGGGACGAGATGTGTCTCAGTCGATGCAAACTGTGCTCTGCACACCATTTTCTGTAAATTATCTGTCCATCTGCGAATTGTTACGTCATAATTATGTCGTACAGTTGAGGCAGTATCGGAGGAGAGCAGGTCTCTGATGGCGCGGGCTCTGGAGGAGGCAGAGGAGGAGATGCAGTGCAAGGCGGAGCTGATCCGCCAGATCAGAGCCATGGAGAGGGTCCACGTGCCCAGGACCAAACTAGTGGACCTGACCCAGACCGGGGGACAAGGTCTGCTGGTAGAGATGTCTGTGGCTGAACTGAGGGAGAGACTGGGTCTCCTGAGAGTGGCTGAGGCCCAGGAGGAGGAGAGGAGGAGGAGGGACATTGCTACCTCGAAACAGGTCCGCTCTCTCTCTCTGGTGCACATCTCCCACCTGCTGTGCCTCTGACTGCAGGCCAAGGAGAGACTCATCTCTGAGACAAAGGAGTCCATTTCTCGTCACCGTCAGGAGAAGAGCAAGGAGACACTCAACAGGTGTGATCTCTAGTCCTCCATGTTTCTCCCTATAAATGCTGGTCGTGCTGGCTGCAGGCAGGAGAGAGATGGAGATGTGTTCAGCAGACATCGCAGCCAGCTGAGGCAGAAGACTGTAAACCATCTCCAGGACAGACTCCAGGCCAGGAGGAAAGGTGGGGCACAGCAGAAACTTACCTCTCTGCACAAACTTGATCGTCATGATTATAAACGCATACATGTGAAGAGGGCATTTATATATTGACCTCCTCTTGCAGAGAGGGAAAGACTGCAGTCAGAGAGCCAAGTGAGGAAGGGAGGCGGGGCTGCTAGATCTCAGGTCTGACTGCTACACTTACACTACTACCAATATTTATCTTTCCTCTGTGTGTGTGTGTGTGTGTGTGTGTGTGTGTGTGTGCAGGCTGACAGCACCACTGACACTTCTCAATCCATTACATCCACTCTACTGCATTGCTAACATTGTACTGTGATGTAACATAGTTTTACTCTACCTTTGGCGCATGCGCACCTTGAATTGCATCGACCAGCGGTATATTAAAGGAGTTCCCCAGATCGGACACCTCGTGGTGCATATAAACAGCGGGTTGTCTAAAGCCAGCCATTAGCTAGAGTCTGAAATGGAGGACCTTGGTAACCAGAGAAGGAGTTCGGAAAAGCGAAGGGAGAGACGAGGTAGTGATCGCAGCGGAGCCCCTCGTCCCAGGTAAGTAGCTACCCTGCACTGCAAGTGGTGGGATGACCACGTCTCGCTGCCCCCCTGCAGACCTCCTCGGAGGCCGCGGGCGGTGGGGAGGAGCAGTGATGTGGGCCCCAGACCTCAGTCCACCAGAACTAGGAGACCTCCTCAGAGACGCAGTCTGGTTTGTTGCCTCGGCCACCAGTGACTCCTCATCTCTGTCTCTCTCTAATGTGTCAGAGGTCAGTGTTGGATGAGGTGAAGGAGTTCACACCGTGTCTGGCAGTGGACCCAGCTCTCCTCCGCAGAGCCAACAACAAGAAGTACACTGGACTCCATCGCTGCTGTACTCACTGTACCCCCAGCAGCAAGGTAGACCATCTCCTGTAGTGGCTCTGCACCCAGCACACTATGCATCTTCCTTGGTCTCTGGGTGATGAAGGTTCAATTCCTGTTCTCCCCACGCAGAGTAAGAACACGGGAGACATTCCTGGAATGTGTGGACTGGTTGACATCCTGAGACTGGAGGGTGGAAAGTTCAGGTAGTTCCCTCGCCCTCCTGACTCCAATCTAATTCTGGCACTCCCTGCAGGAGACTGCCTTACCGACTCGTTCCCTACCTCTCGTTTGTGGTGCAGCAGCCGATGACCTGTCAGAGAGACCATCACAAAGCCACCCTCTCCTCCTCACGGTACACAAAGATAATGTGATTGTCATGACTACTGGGGCATCATGTGGTACTCATTATGTTCACTAGCAGAGCTTCAGTTCCCCTTTCTGAGTGTTGTGTGTTGTGTTTGGACTGAGCTGTCGTAGACCTGTTGGTCATGTGCTGTTTACGTCTTCCTGTCTCTTCTTCCTCCTGTAACAGTGTCCAGGAAGCCATTACCAAGTGTGCCTCAGATGCTGATGATCATGGGAAAGGTATATGTTTAACTTGATAAAGCTGCAAATGATAGTTTGTCAACACTGTATTTGGTGGGATGCCAACTATCCCTGTTTTGAGAATGACTCTGTCCGGGTGGAGGTGGTGGTAGGAAGGAGCAGGAGAAGAGAGCGGCCGGGATTGTGTCCGCCATGTCCTCAGCTGTCTACAGACCTCTCGTGAGGCTCATTGCGTGGCTGTTCTTCTGGACATTTGGACACATGTTTGAGAGACTAGACATCCAGCACAGCCACACAGCCATGCTGCTCCAGGCACAGGAGGTCCGTACTGCCCTCTCCACTCCTCTGTCTATAACCCTTGTACACTGACACTTCGGTTTGCAAACCACCATCTTTGAAAAAACATGTAAACTGAAGCAATTTGCTCAACTTTCCCTCTCTCTCTCTTCATGTATTGGTATATATAAATATGTAGAGAGGAGTGCCGATGGTTTTCCTGCCCAGCCATAAGAGCCACATGGATTACCTCATCATGACCTTTGCCCTCTTCTCTCTGGGCATCAGAATACCTCGGGTTGCCGCTGGCGACAACCTCAGACTCCCGTTTGTCTCGTGAGAATACTGCAACCTGATTGGTCAGTGTAGTCATGTGACTATGTACAGGTGGCTGGTGACTCATCTGGGAGGGTTCTTTATCAAGAGAAAGTTGGACGTTTCAGACAAGAAAGATGTTCTATACCGCAGATGCCTGCATGAGGTCAGGGGTAAATGGATGATGTCATAGCTTAGAGAGATCCTATCCTAATTCAGTAGGGACACCTCTAATATGGAACAATGCTGTTTTTCTCACCTAATGTGGACACTTGTCTGTACTATTTTGGTGTTCAGATTAGAGGGGTTCTACTGTATCCCCCCTCGCACTCTCTCTCTCTCTCTCTCTCTCCCGTGGCAGTATATGGAGCAGCTGCTGCAGTCAGGAGAGAGTCTGGAGTTCTTCCTGGAGGGAAGCAGGTCCCGCAGTGGCAAACCATGCACCCCCAAAGCCGGCCTCCTCTCTGTCGTCGTCGACACTGTCAGAGAAGGTGAGCAGTCGAGACTCTTGGGTCTGTGGGAACATCAGAGGGAGGAAACTGTTGCGATAGGCATGGGCAAACATTTCCCCACGAAATTCACGATTGGTACCGCAATGTGAGCTGTCAGAGATCTTCACCGCAGGTCTGGTGGAGGATGTACTGGTGGTTCCTGTCAATATCTCTTACGACAGATTAGTGGAGACGACGTTTGTCAAGAATGAGCTGATGGTAAGTCTCTTCATGAGGGGAGGTGTGACTGTAGTGATCGTGGTGATGCTGGTGCTCAGGGAGGAGAGAAAAGACCAGAGACTTTGAGGGAGGCTTTGAAAGGGGTGTGGTCTTTTATCACCCGCAGAGTGGGCGTGGTTAGAGTCGACTTCTCTCAACCTTTCTCCCTGCAGGTGAGCCTCTCTTCTTCAACCTGGTCTCCCTTCTCTCCTCTCTGAATCTCTCTCTCCCTCCCTCCATGCAGGAGTTCCTGTCCAAAGCTGTGATAGCCAAAGGTTCTCTACTGGAGATGTCCCAAGTCTCAAGACGTGGTTCAACTGTCAACCTGACACAGAGTTACCATCGCAGACTGGTCACTGCTCTCTCCTACCACATCATGTATGGTGAGAGACTGTCTCCTCCCCTCCCTCCCTCACCTCTCCCCCCTCGTCACAGACATCACCCTCTGCACCAGCCTCACCCCCACGTCCATGGTGTCCTTCCTCCTCCTCAACAAGTTCAGACAAGTAAGACTCTGGTTTCCTCTCTCTCTCCATTGACTGGTCCTCTGATAGTATGGAGCCACCATTGATGAGCTCATTGATGGCTACCTGCAGCTGGAGAGACTGGCTGAACTACACGGGAGGTGAATGATCTTGATCTCTTTTCTTGTTTCTTCGTTCATGTTTCTCATTTTCTTTTCCTTCATTTCAGAGTCATCAGTTCCTACCTGTCGGCCGGAGAGGCTGTACATTACGCGCCTGCACTACATGTCCAATCTGGTTACCGTTAGCAACACTGCCTGTGAGCGACCATCTAAACGGGTCGTTGCCAGTAGCAACAAGAGGATCAGGCCGGTTGCTAAGTCTCACAGATGTGTTTGAGATCTCTACCACCTGTCGAATCAGACTGCTCCTCTGCTGGACAGGCATGCCATCATCGGTATGAGCCTCAGTGTCCTCTAATAAAGATTCCCATCTGTGCTGCAACCTACAGTGTCCTGCCTTATGGTAGACGTCCGTTCTGCAAATGAGAAATACTGATTCTCCTGTAATTTCCTCTCTCCAGCATACAGTGTCTTGTCAGTATCCAGGGACACAGCAAGAGAAACATCAATCAGGACAAGGTCGGACTCTCCTCTGCCTGAACCCCTCCCCAGTGTCTCTGTCGGTGTGTGTAGGTGGTGGAGACGGGCCAGCCCCGGCTCAGATACTGGCACGCGAGTTCATCTTCACTCCTGTGAGTCACTCTGTACCCTCCCCTCTCGTTATAATGACCACACACTCTCCCCAGCCGTGTGAGACTTGACAGTCGCTCTTACTCGATAGTCCTTTGACGCTTTGTCAATTCCGAGGTGCTGAAGAGGGTGGGGTCTTGTGACCATGGTACAGGAGACCGTGTATCTGGACGTGGATGACGATGATGGATGAGTATGTCCCTGTCATTGAGTACCAGGTGAGGTCTCCTCTCTGCCACTTTCACACTCGCCTCTTCTCTGTGTCTGGTCCAGCTGGGAGAGAGGAGGGGAAGGCCCGTCTCTCTCTCTTTGCCTCCGTTCTGGAGCCCCTGGTGGAGAGCTACTGGCTGACCACCACCCCGCTCCTCCTCCTCCTCCCCCCTCTCCCCCCGACCACTTCCTCACTGGTACCACCACCCTCAACCCTGCTCCCTGTAGACCTTACTGTCTCTCTCTTTCTCCAGAGTCTGGGCTGGTGGGTCATGTCCAGACCATCGCCAAGGCTAAAGCTGAGAAGGCTCAGCTGTATCGAGGTATGCCTGCAAGCTGGTCTTGCATATTGTGAGGTTGTATAGTTTCCTTTGTGTCCTTCCCCTGAATGGTGTGTGCAGTTGAGAGCTGCTCATCAGACACCATCAGGAATGCAATCAAGATCCTGCAGGACCGTCAAGTTCTGGTTCCAGCACAGAATGGAGACGGCAGCACACCACATACTCAGTCACTGGAGGTTGCCAATAGCAACCTCCTGGTTGACATCATCAAGCAACTGACTCTACTTCGTAGCTAATCTTTCTCTCGTAGTTCAATCTCTCCACTCTGTTCCGAGGAATCATGAACTCTACTTGTGAACTGATGTATCATGAACTATTGTTGAACATAGTATCATGAACTGAACACAGTGTATCACAAACTATCGCTGAACATAGGTCTCAGAGCCTGACTCAGTCTGGCTGACTGCTGCTGTTTCAGCTGAGTCAGTTCCCTCAGTCTCCTCTGCACAGCAGTGTTCCCCATCCCCGCCTGCCTCAGGTCCTCCTCTGCCTCGTCCAGGTCTCCCAGTCTCATTCTGGCCACTCCGCGGCGGTACAGAGCCTTCACGTTCCCTGGGTCCAGCTCCAGGACTCGGGAACAGTTGGAGGAGGCATGGTCGGCCTGCCCCAACTTCAGTTGACAGGCTGCCAGGTTCAGACCCAGAGCCACCTGCAGATCTTTGAATTCTCCTTCTCCTCCTCCTTCTGCTGCTGCTGCTAGTTTGGCTGCCCGAGAGTAGCAAACAGCAGCTGCTCCCTCTTGACCCTCCTGAAACAGCTTCCCTCCTCTCTCCTTGTGTCGACTGGCCAGTGAGAGAATCTCGCTAGTCTCCATCTCCCATAGCTGTCTGGCTCTGGTGAAGGAGACGAGGCTCAGGGTGTAGCTGAGAGAGACGACGTCAATGGGAAGGTCGTGGAGGTCACCAGCCAAGGCCCGAGGGACTGGCTCCAGTCTGCACACCTCTCCCTCTTTCATGGCCGCCAGAGCATCATCTAGAACCAAATAAAGCGGCTCTAGAGCCTCGCCTGCAGGGGAAACATGAGCAATGAGGCAGGAGATGACCTGTAGTGTCTTACCCAGCTTCATCTCCACTCCCTCTCTCCTCTCCACCTCCCTCGGGTCACCGTCAGCTGCTCCATAGCTGCAGACTATGTCGATCACTACAGTAGCTCCCTCCCCAGCGATCCTCAGCCCACGACCTGCTCTTTCCGTCCTCCGTGCAAGCATTGAGCTGTTCCTTGGTGCGCAGTGCCTGCGCATGCGCAGGTCTTCACCCACGAGCACACTCGAGCAGCTAGCGGCACTCACACCGACCAGTCCCTCCTGGAGCTGCAGAGCCTCGAGTGACAATGAGCGAGAGTGAGGAAGAAGCGGTCGCTAGCAGGGAAGAGGAAACTGAGGCAGACGAGGCATCCGGTCCTGATGAGGGCGAAGAAGACAAGTGCGAGGAGAGCGGAATGGCCGACGGGAGTGAGTGGGATCCGCAGGTCCGCCGGGAGCAGCGCCACACCATGCGGCAGATCATCCGCGACGTCCAAGGTCAGTTTGAGAATATTGTGTCATGTACATATGTGAATGCTTGTCCTCTGCTCTCTAGAATCCCGGGAGGACATGACTGTTCCCGACGACCTCGTTAAAAACGTCAAGAGGATGAACAGTGTGTTTAGAGACGTTGTTTCCACTCGCGAGGCAGCAATCGATGCTGAGGGTTTTCAACTCCTCTCAGCCATCGGTAAAGAACAGGCTGAATCTAGTGCCGGTGAACTCGTATTTGACCCCATTGTTTTTGCAGAGAAACTGGTGAGTTAGCTAAAGATTGACCCAAATAATTTTAATCTGTGGAAATTGTTCAGGTGACGTTTATGGGTGGTCGCCGAGGAGATGGGAGCCGTAACCTCGAGGGTCTGGACTGGGCCAAACTGGGAGAGAAGGCATCTGCGTGCTTCACAGCCCCACCTTCCCTCAATTTCCTGTGAGCTGTCTGACCTTTCTTTCATGTCAGAGGTTAAACTGACAATAATGGTGGAAACTTTTCAAGGCATGCAAATTCCGTCACTTGGCTGCAGCTGGTATAAAATCACTTTTTCCTATATAATGGTGTATTCCCTTACCCCACCCAGCCATGGTGCACTGGATGTGGATCCAATAAAAACAAAGCAGCGACAGAGGTTAGGGAGGAAGAAGGAGAGCTCTGAGACGACCGCCAGCAAACCGAGGGAGCTGACACAATTTGAGAATGAGGAGGAGTCCACTACAAAGGACGTGGCTCACCTTTTCTACCATCTGAAGAGGCTATGTGGTGACGGACGTCGTCGTGTGCATTATTTCACCTGTTTGGTTGACCCGGAGTCGTTTTCTCATCAGTGGAGGAAAATGTTTCATTTCGCCTTCCTCATTAAGGTCGGTGTAAGCCTCATGGTTTTGGATATACCCTCCCTGTCTTTCTGGTCTAGGACGGGCGAGCTGGGAATAGAGATTGATGAGAAGGAAGATCAACCATACATTTATCTTCGTAAGCCGAGGGTAATAGGGCGACTGTCCCTATATATGTCTCTCCCTCTCCTCTGTGTGTACAGGTGTATACAGCTGAAGGAGGCAAGTCCCAGAGGAAGGACAAAGGTCAGATGATCATGAGCCTCGACATGGCACAGTGGAGGGTGAGCTACGAGCTAGTGAACAGAGTATGGACAAGTAAATTTAAAATCCTGCAAACTTTTAAAGATAAAGGAGACAGGTCCCCATACATCTATTATGCTAGGTGATATACCATGCCCTCCTCTATATATTAGTACTAACCGTACTTAGTGGAGATATGTGAGCGGTTTCTCTCTTCTTCAGAGGGCCATTGAAAAGTTTGGCATTGACAGTGCTCTGGTGCCTCGCAGAGAGAGACAGTAACATCCAGACTGACTGGCTGACTGACTGGCTGATTGAGTAGTAGCTTCTGGAAATCCTTCACTAAATCACTACCACTCACCCCCCAACCCCATTTTAACATCTGTAATCTCCTCATATATACATGAATACGAGGTCAAGTGGAAGATTTCCCCAGTGTAGTGACTTCCTTGTTGCCCTGCATAGTGCATTGTGACTTGCGGCATTCATGCAGTTCCGTGTATACTCATCAGGTGCACATTGTGTCCCTGCATAAGTATGGCACGGTAATGCACATGAGGCATTATTATGTTGCCACACAGAATCAAAGCTCTTAGTGCCATGGAAAACACATGAACATACCACAGCAGAGCACCTGTTAACATCATAATTATTGTGGAACCTCTCTGGTAATTGCTGGTTTTCTTGGTCACCCACAATTCTTCAGATCTCACAATCTGCTTTTCTCCGGAATACGATGTTGATGTTGCAAGTCGCGTTACGTCATTTGGGCATGCGCATGCGCATTTCGCAGCGTGGTTGCTAAATATAAGTCAAAGGATTACGTATTACTGCTACGGACTAACGTATAAAAAGCCTGGACGACGGCCGGGCGCTCCCAAAGCACGAAGACGTCGCAACATCTCTGTGAATATTCGTAGGCATCATTTAGGAATAAGAACACAAATGGATCCTCAGTGTGCGCTATCCCTCACGCCAGTGACACCAGAGCAATTGGCTCTCTCCCACGACAACCCCTCCTCATCGCGACACCTCTTGCTAGACATTCGGCCCAGTGGACAGTTCTGCAGCGGCCACATTCGGGAGCTGAGAACCTGAACTTCTCCAACATCCTCCTCCGAAGGCTCCTCAAGGGTGTAGTGAAGCTGGAGGACGATGCTGACGTCCCCAGAGCTAGTGGAGCGGGTGTGCTGCCGCGATACACCACTCAACTGGTGCTGTGCGACGCCGGGTCCTCGGCCGCTCACTGCCGCCCGAGCTACTGAAACACGCTGAGGTGTTAGTCAACTGTCTGAGAGAAAGAGACGCCAAGGAGGGCCTGCAACGGGCTACTCCGTGCAGTACGTCGACGGTGAGTTTCGTAGAGACACACACGCACACCAGTTAGTTGATGTGGAGGGGGTGCTGAAAACGGCAGTCTATATTCCCACAGCCTGCAGGGCTGCCTGAGTCTTCTTGAGACACAGACAGCCCCGACTGCCCCTCCCCAAGGTTCTCTGAACCAGTCTGCAGCGAGATATAATGACACACTTCTCTCCCTCTCTCCACCCACAGGAGGCTATCCAGCATTTACCAAGCAGTTCCCTGGACTGTGTCGGCAGAGCTCCTCCACGCCCTCCTCCCATGTCCAGATATCAGTCAGTGCCAGTCTCCCAGTCTCCCTCACCTCCTCATCCCAGAGGAAGCTGAAACTCCAGTCAGCACCAGCTGACGACTCAGACCGCTATGGTCCTCCAGTGCAGATCCTGCCTCACCTAATCCTGGGCTGTGCCAAGGACTCCAGCAATCTGTCGGTCCTCCGGCAGCTGGGAGTGACCGCCGTCCTCAACGTCTCTCACAACTGCCCCAGTCTATTCCAGTCCCAGCTTCAGTACATGGAGATCAGAGTCCCCGACACGTACCAGGCAGACCTCCTGGCACGACTTGACGAAGCCTTCCTGTTCATTGGTGAGCAACAATCACGGTGCAGTGTAATGGGCCTGATTGCAGGGAGAATCAAATCTGTAGCAATTGCTTTGTAAAAAGTCAGTTCCACAAACTGCGAGAGATGTACATATAGTTCTTTCCCCACTATTGATTGATGTTTGAGTCAGTGATGAAGAGTGTGTTTTTCCTCTCTCAGATGGTGTGAAAGCAAGCGGTGGGCGAGTGTTGGTCCACTGTCATGCTGGAGTCTCTCGTTCGGCCACTGTGTGCATGGCATACGTCATGAAGACCCTCAATTATGACTTGCGTTCGGCCTACGACTTTGTCAAGAGCAAACGCTCATGTGTGTCCCCCAACCTTCACTTCATGGGCCCAGCTGCTCGAGTTTGAGAAGAGACTAGGAGTGCTTTCCTTGTCGCAGGCCAATTGTGACCCCTGCGGTCTGTCGTGTGTGAGGAGGAGGAGCGAGAGCGGCCGTGCTCCCTGCCCCCCTCATGGGTCAGCAAGGAGAAGAGACGGGCAGTCAGCACGCCTGCCTCGCTGGAGATTTCTCCATATACCATCCCCTCCCGCAAACCTCTCCTCAGCCCCTGCTGGGCCACACCCACACCCACTAATTGCTCAAGTCTACCCTCCACTCCTCTCCCACGCTATGCTGCACCTTCCCAGAATCACAACTCTCCCGCTCTGCACACGCGGCACATTGCACACTCCTGCAGTCTCCAGTCTCTGGCTCTCACTCCTATCACCACTGCCCACTGCTCAGAACTCTCCCCGCCCCGTCCCGGAAAGCCTGTAGTCACTTATACCACTAGGATGCATAGTTTGTGTGAACATTATGTCTGTAACTGTAACCGTCTTTGTGTGCCAACTTCATCTGACAATCACTGTAATAGTGCGCGCGCGGATTCGACCCCTAGCCGGCCACTCCGTCAGGAGCGGTCACGAAAAACCGGCAACCTAAAAGCCTCCCCCAGGCTGTCCCAATAGAGACAAAGACGGGGCAGTAATGGCGTCTGATGACTACCCTCCATTTCAGCTGGGAGGTCGAGATTCGACCAGGTAACGCCTTTACTGACGCGAAAGCGGTGTACGCGCGTACGTGGCCCTTCTCTCCTTTACTTGTTCACCTAGTCCACTTTCTCCGTCGACTGAGGCACTTTCTGACGTGTGGACCCGCGAAACTCTCCTCACTCGCGAGGGAGAAAGAAAGAGAGGAGGGAGAGATTTAGCTAGTGTCGCAACAGGCTGGGTAGGGGACAGTGTTGCAACATGTAGGCAGTATGACCTCCACACTTGGACCTGTGACCTAACTTGCACCACCTAATATTGCAGGTCATGACTTGTGAAAGTATGGCAAATATGGTGTGAATTTTAGGATAATGTGTACAAACAACTGGTGAAATTCACAGCAGGAACATGGATGGATCGCTGATACCTCGCGAGTGAGGAGAGTTCGGGGGTCCACCACGTCCAGAAAGTGCCTCAGTCGACCGGAGAAAGTGGACTAGGTGAACAAGTAAAGGAGAGAAGGGCCCACGTACGCGCGTACACCGCTTTCGCGTCAGTAAAGGCGTTACCTGGTCGAATCTCGACCTCCCCAGCTGAAATGGAGGGTAGTCATCAGACGCCATTACTGCCCCGTCTTTATCTCTATTGGGCTGGACAGCCTGGGGAGGCTTTTAGGTTGCCGGTTTTTCGTGACCGCTCCTGACGGAGAGTGGCTAGGGGTCGAATCCGCGCGCGCACTATTACAGTGATTGTCAGATGAAGTTGGCACACAAAGACGGTTACAGTTACAGACATAATGTTCACACAAACTATGCATCCTAGTGGTATAAGTGACTACAGGCTTTCCGGGACGGGGCGGGGAGAGTTCTGAGCAGCGGCAGTGGTGATAGGAGTGAGAGCCAGAGACTGGAGACTGCAGGAGTGTGCGATGTGCCGCGTGTGCAGAGCGGGAGAGTTGTGATTCTGGGGAGGTGCAGCATAGCGTGGGAGAGGAGTGGAGGGTAGACTTGAGCAATTAGTGGGTGTGGCCCAGCAGGGGCTGAGGAGAGGTTTGCGGGAGGGGATGGTATATGGAGAAATCTCCAGCGAGGCAGGCGTGCTGACTGCCCGTCTCTTCTCCTTGCTGACCCAGGAGGGGGGCAGGGAGCACGGCCGCTCTCGCTCCTCCTCCTCCACACACGACAGACCGCAGGGGTCACAATTGGCCTGCGACAAGGAACGCATTCCTAGTCTCTTCTCAAACTCGAGCAGCTGGCCCATGAAGTGAAGGTTGGGGGACACACATGAGCGTTTGCTCTTGACAAAGTCGTAGGCCGAACGCAAGTCATAATTGAGGGTCTTCATGACGTATGCCATGCACACAGTGGCCGAACGAGAGACTCCAGCATGACAGTGGACCAACACTCGCCCACCGCTTGCTTTCACACCATCTGAGAGAGGAAAAATACACTCTTCATCCACTGACTCAAACATCAATCAATAGTGGGGAAAAAACTATATGTACATCTCTTGCAGTTTGTGGAACTGACTTTTTACAAAGCAATTGCTACAGATTTGATTCTCCCTGCAATCAGGCCCATTACACTGCACCGTGATTGTTGCTCACCAATGAACAGGAAGGCTTCGTCAAGTCGTGCCAGGAGGTCTGCCTGGTACGTGTCGGGGACTCTGATCTCCATGTACTGAAGCTGGGACTGGAATAGACTGGGGCAGTTGTGAGAGACGTTGAGGACGGCGGTCACTCCCAGCTGCCGGAGGACCGACAGATTGCTGGAGTCCTTGGCACAGCCCAGGATTAGGTGAGGCAGGATCTGCACTGGAGGACCATAGCGGTCTGAGTCGTCAGCTGGTGCTGACTGGAGTTTCAGCTTCCTCTGGGATGAGGAGGTGAGGGAGACTGGGAGACTGGCACTGACTGATATCTGGACATGGGAGGAGGGCGTGGAGGAGCTCTGCCGACACAGTCCAGGGAACTGCTTGGTAAATGCTGGATAGCCTCCTGTGGGTGGAGAGAGGGAGAGAAGTGTGTCATTATATCTCGCTGCAGACTGGTTCAGAGAACCTTGGGGAGGGGCAGTCGGGGCTGTCTGTGTCTCAAGAAGACTCAGGCAGCCCTGCAGGCTGTGGGAATATAGACTGCCGTTTTCAGCACCCCCTCCACATCAACTAACTGGTGTGCGTGTGTGTCTCTACGAAACTCACCGTCGACGTACTGCACGGAGTAGCCCCGTTGCAGGCCCTCCGTGGCGTCTCTTTCTCTCAGACAGTTGACTAACACCTCAGCGTGTTTCAGTAGCTCGGGGCGGCAGTGAGCGGCCGAGGACCCGGCGTCGCACAGCACCAGTTGAGTGGTGTATCGCCGGCAGCACACCCGCTCCACTAGCTCTGGGGACGTCAGCATCGTCTCCAGCTTCACTACACCCTTGAGGAGCCTTCGGAGGAGGATGTTGGAGAAGTTCAGGTTCTCAGCTCCCTGAATGTGGCCGCTGCAGAACTGTCCACTGGGCCGAATGTCTAGCAAGAGGTGTCGCGATGAGGAGGGGTTGTCGTGGGAGAGAGCCAATTGCTCTGGTGTCACTGGCGTGAGGGATAGCGCACACTGAGGATCCATTTGTGTTCTTATTCCTAAAATGATGCCTACGAATATTCACAGAGATGTATGCGACGTCTTCGTGCTTTGGGAGCGCCCCGGCCGTCGTCCAGGCTTTTTATACGTTAGTCCGTAGCAGTAATACGTAATCCTTTGACTTATATTTAGCAACCACGCTGCGAAATGCGCATGCGCATGCCCAAATGACGTAACGCGACTTGCAACATCAACATCGTATTCCGGAGAAAAGCAGATTGTGAAGATCTGAAGAATTGTGGGTGACCAAGAAAACCAGCAATTACCAGAGAGGTTCCACAATAATTATGATGTTAACAGGTGCTCTGCTGTGGTATGTTCATGTGTTTTCCATGGCACTAAGAGCTTTGATTCTGTGTGACAACATAATATGCCTCATGTGCATTACCGTGCCATACTTATGCAGGGACACAATGGCACCTGATGAGTAGAACACGGAAACTGCATGAATGCACGCAAAGTCACAATGCACTATGCAGCAACAAGGAAGTCAACTACACTGGGGGAAATCTTCCACTTTTAAGGACCTCGTATTCATGTATATATGAGGAGATTACAGAAGGTTAAAATGGGGTTGGGGGGTGAGTGGTAGTGATTTAGTGAAGGATTTCCAGAAGCTACTCAATCAGCCAGTCAGTCAGCCAGTCAGTCAGCCAGTCAGTCTGGATGTTACTTCTCTCTGCGAGGCACCAGAGCACTGTCAATGCCAAACTTTTCAATGGCCCTCTGAAGAAGAGAGAAACCGCTCACATATCTCCACTAAGTACGGTTAGTACTAATAGTATAGAGGGATGGGCATGGTATATACCTAGCATAATAGATGTATGGGGCCTGTCTCCCTTTATCTTTTAAAAAAATTTGCAGGATTTTAAATTTACTTGTCCATACTCTGTTCACTCGTAGCTCACCCTCCACTGTGCCATGTCGAGGCTCATGATCATCTGACCTTTGTCCTTCCTCTGGGACTTGCCTCCTTCAGCTGTATACACATGTACACACAGAGTGAGAGGGAGAGACATAATGATAGGGACAGTCGCCCTATTACCCTCGGCTTACGAAGATAAATGTATGGTTGATCTTCCTTCTCATCAATCTCTATTCCAGCTCGCCCGTCCTAGAACCAGAAAGACAGGGAGGGTATATACAAAACCATGAGGCTTACACCGACCTTAATGAGGAAGGCGAAATGAAACATGTTCTCCACTGAATGAGAAAACGACTCCGGGTCAACCAAACAGGTGAAATAATGCACACGACGACGTCCGTCACCACATAGCCTCTTCAGATGGTAGAAAAGGTGAGCCACGTCCTTTGTAGTGGACTCCTCCTCATTCTCAAATTGTGTCAGCTCCCTCGGTTTGCTGGCGGTCGTCTCAGAGCTCTCCTTCTTCCTCCCTAACCTCTGTCGCTGCTTTGTTTTTATTGGATCCACATCCAGTGCACCATGGCTGGGTGGGGTAAGGGAATACACCATTATATAGGAAAAAGTTTCCACCATTATTGTCAGTTTAACCTCTGACATGAAAGAAAGGTCAGACAGCTCACAGGAAATTGAGGGAAGGTGGGGCTGTGAAGCACGCAGATGCCTTCTCTCCCAGTTTGGCCCAGTCCAGACCCTCGAGGTTACGGCTCCCATCTCCTCGGCGACCACCCATAAACGTCACCTGAACAATTTCCACAGATTAAAATTATTTGGGTCAATCTTTAGCTAACTCACCAGTTTCTCTGCAAAAACAATGGGGTCAAATACGAGTTCACCGGCACTAGATTCAGCCTGTTCTTTACCGATGGCTGAGAGGAGTTGAAAACCCTCAGCATCGATTGCTGCCTCGCGAGTGGAAACAACGTCTCTAAACACACTGTTCATCCTCTTGACGTTTTTAACGAGGTCGTCGGGAACAGTCATGTCCTCCCGGGATTCTAGAGAGCAGAGGACAAGCATTCACATATGTACATGACACAATATTCTCAAACTGACCTTGGACGTCGCGGATGATCTGCCGCATGGTGTGGCGCTGCTCCCGGCGGACCTGCGGATCCCACTCACTCCCGTCGGCCATTCCGCTCTCCTCGCACTTGTCTTCTTCGCCCTCATCAGGACCGGATGCCTCGTCTGCCTCAGTTTCCTCTTCCCTGCTAGCGACCGCTTCTTCCTCACTCTCGCTCATTGTCACTCGAGGCTCTGCAGCTCCAGGAGGGACTGGTCGGTGTGAGTGCCGCTAGCTGATCGAGTGTGCTCGTGGGTGAAGACCTGCGCATGCGCAGGCACTGCGCACCAAGGAACAGCTCAATGCTTGCACGGAGGACGGAAAGAGCAGGTCGTGGGCTGAGGATCGCTGGGGAGGGAGCTACTGTAGTGATCGACATAGTCTGCAGCTATGGAGCAGCTGATGGTGACCTGAGGGAGGTGGAGAGGAGAGAGGGAGTGGAGATGAAGCTGGGTAAGACACTACAGGTCATCTCCTGCCTCATTGCTCATGTTTCTCCTGCAGGCGAGGCTCTAGAGCCGCTTTATTTGGTTCTAGATGACGCTCTGGCGGCCATGAGAGAGGGAGAGGTGTGCAGACTGGAGCCAGTCCCTCGGGCCTTGGCTGGTGACCTCCACGACCTTCCCATTGACGTCGTCTCTCTCAGCTACACCCTGAGCCTCGTCTCCTTCACCAGAGCCAGACAGCTATGGGAGATGGAGACTAGCGAGATTCTCTCACTGGCCAGTCGACACAAGGAGAGAGGAGGGAAGCTGTTTCAGGAGGGTCAAGAGGGAGCAGCTGCTGTTTGCTACTCTCGGGCAGCCAAACTAGCAGCAGCAGCAGGAGGAGGAGGAGAAGGAGAATTCAAAGATCTGCAGGTGGCTCTGGGTCTGAACCTGGCAGCCTGTCAACTGAAGCTGGGGCAGGCCGACCATGCCTCCTCCAACTGTTCCCGAGTCCTGGAGCTGGACCCAGGGAACGTGAAGGCTCTGTACCGCCGCGGAGTGGCCAGAATGAGACTGGGAGACCTGGACGAGGCAGAGGAGGACCTGAGGCAGGCGGGGATGGGGAACACTGCTGTGCAGAGGAGACTGAGGGAACTGACTCAGCTGAAACAGCAGCAGTCAGCCAGACTGAGTCAGGCTCTGAGACCTATGTTCAGCGATAGTTTGTGATACACTGTGTTCAGTTCATGATACTATGTTCAACAATAGTTCATGATACATCAGTTCACAAGTAGAGTTCATGATTCCTCGGAACAGAGTGGAGAGATTGAACTACGAGAGAAAGATTAGCTACGAAGTAGAGTCAGTTGCTTGATGATGTCAACCAGGAGGTTGCTATTGGCAACCTCCAGTGACTGAGTATGTGGTGTGCTGCCGTCTCCATTCTGTGCTGGAACCAGAACTTGACGGTCCTGCAGGATCTTGATTGCATTCCTGATGGTGTCTGATGAGCAGCTCTCAACTGCACACACCATTCAGGGGAAGGACACAAAGGAAACTATACAACCTCACAATATGCAAGACCAGCTTGCAGGCATACCTCGATACAGCTGAGCCTTCTCAGCTTTAGCCTTGGCGATGGTCTGGACATGACCCACCAGCCCAGACTCTGGAGAAAGAGAGAGACAGTAAGGTCTACAGGGAGCAGGGTTGAGGGTGGTGGTACCAGTGAGGAAGTGGTCGGGGGAGAGGGGGAGGAGGAGGAGGAGCTGGGTGGTGGTCAGCCAGTAGCTCTCCACCAGGGGCTCCAGAACGGAGGCAAAGAGAGAGAGACTGGCCTTCCCCTCCTCTCCCAGCTGGACCAGACACAGAGAAGAGGCGAGTGTGAAAGTGGCAGAGAGGAGACCTCACCTGGTACTCAATGACAGGGACATACTCATCCCAATCATCGTCATCCACGTCCAGATACATCGGTCTCCTGTTACCATGGTTACCAGACCCCACCCTCTTCAGCACCTCGGAATTGACAAAGTCGTCAAGGACTTCGAGTAGAGCGACTGTCAAGTCCTCACACGGCTGGGGAGAGGGGGTGTGGTCAGTATAACGAGAGGGGAGGGTACAGAGTGACTCACAGGAGTGAAGATGAACTCGCGTGCCAGTATCTGAGCCAGGGAGCTGGCCGTCTCCACCACCTACACACACCGACAGAGACACACTGGGGGAGGGGTTCAGGCAGAGGAGAGTCCGACCTTGTCCTGATTGATGTTTCTCTTGCTGGTGTCCCTGGATACTGACAAGACACTGTATGCTGGAGAGAGGAAATTACAGGAGAACTCAATATTTCTCATTTTTGCAGAACGGACGTCTACCATAAGGCAGACACTGGTAGGTGCCACAGATTGGGAATCTTTATTAGAGGACACTGAGGCTCATACCGATGATGGCATGCCTGGCCAGCAGAGGAGCAGTCTGATTCGACAGGTGGTAGAGATCAAACACATCTGGAAGACTTAGCACCGGCCTGATCCTCTTGTTGCTACTGGCACGACCCCGTTTAGAGGTCGCTCACAGGCAGTGTTGCCAACGGTAACCAGATTGGACATGTAGTGCAGCGCGTAATGTACAGCCTCTCCGGCCGACAGGTAGGAACTGATGACTCTGAAATGAAAGGAAAAGAAAAATGAGAAACATTGAACGAAGAAAAAGATAAGAGATCATTCACCTCCCGTGTAGTTCAGCCAGTCTCTCCAGCTGCAGGTAGCCATCAATGAGCTCATCAATGGTGGCTCCATACTATCAGAGGACCAGTCAATGGAGAGAGAGAGGAAACCAGAGTCTTACTTGTCTGAACTTGTTGAGGAGGAGGAAGGACACCATGGACGTGGGGGTGAGGCTGGTGCAGAGGGTGATGTCTTGTGACGAGGGGGGAGAGGTGAGGGAGGGAGGGGAGGAGACAGTCTCTCACCATACATGATGTGTAGGAGAGAGCAGTGACCAGTCTGCG